TATATTATGTACGCTTGTTTAAATTGACTTGTTTTACTAAGCATTTTGTTAATCTTTACAGTATTTTGTCAATTCAAATCGGTCAATTCAAATCGTTCAATTCAAAATTTATCATAATTTTTCGGAAAAGATAAAAATTATTAAAATTAGGGTAACAATTATGCACACCTAAAAACCTACAACAGAAATGAGAGGAGGCCTGTGCCCATCAGTGGGACGTATATAGGCTGTAACCTTAACTTTAAACTTTTTAATTTTGCACACAGTTCACGTGATGGAAATTATGTGCTTTGTAGCATATTATACACCTGCATTAATGTTGGATTACGATACAAAATAGCAAATGCGTTTCACCATCATGGCTAAGATGGGATATGTCGTTACCAGTAACGTTTCCGGTTCACCACCCGAACAACAGTAGGATAATGCAATAGATAATGCAATTATTGTTTCCGTAGTCTGTCTATAATTGGTGCTGTAGTATTATAGTACTACTACGTGCAGCGTGGCTTTACCGTGTGCAATATTAATAAAAAATTAAAATAATTGTAAGATTAATAAGCACCTAACCTTCATATTATATGAAATAGGTTTTGTTATCACACTTGTATAATGCAATATTCAGTGCACGGAAAACGTTGAAAAAGTTTACTTACTACTTACATAAGTCTATAACATAGATTAATGATAAGTCATCGCGCGCTCTGACTAGATACCGCGCTCTGACTAGATACCGCGCTCCCTGCAAGTAACAGCTTCGCGAGTGCGGCATCTTAATATTGTAGGGTGTATACGACAATTTGCATGATGCTAGTGTGCGTGAAAAATTGTATATGCCAGCAGCTTAACTATTACCCGATTAACGGGAAAATTTATTTTATGCTATGGCTTAGTAGTTAAGTTGATAGTTATGAATGTATTCTAGAAATACTTAAAAATGAATAGTTTATTAATAACGAATGTATCAATATATTTGTGTATATTATGTATAGGTTTTTCTTCTGAATAAATGACATATAAATGATAAGGCCTCCTTTTTATCAATTTAATTTTTTTATTTACATGTCTAACTAATATTCACAAATTATTTAAAAAAATAGTTATATATATGGTGTAATCAAAATAGTGCTTTCTATTCTACGCGTCAATATGAACAACTTTTACTATAGATCTATCTTCCTAATCACAAGAAAAATCAGGTCTTCCATACATTTTGAGCAAGTTTGTACGAAATTTTGTATGGAATAACTGACTTTGAGTACGTGGAAGGGTCCAATCGGCAAACGTCTCAAAGGCAGATCCCACATGAGATGTGCAGACGATTTAATAAAAACAGCTGGAATTCTTTAGAGGAGGCCTTCACCTTCACTTGAGGAGGGGTTCATGCAAACAAACTTATATATTATTATCCAGATTTAAACATTTTTTTTCTTTTTGCTTTTTTCGTTAAACTATAAACTATGTATGAATTTCATTTTTAGCATGAAATAAAGGGCTTATTATTATTATTATTATTATAACTGACTTTGAGATATTTTTTATAGGATCAGGGTGACAAACGAGCACTCGGTCCACCTGATGGTAAGTGGTTGCTGTGGCCCATAGACATATACATCTATCCTCGGTTAAGAATCAAAATGCAGATGCGTTGCAACCCCTGAGGACTAAGATCGAATGCCTCGTTTCCAGTAAAAAGGGTCTCCGGTTCTCTACACTCACCGTAGGAAACACAGCAGCGTTAAGTTCCTATTTTTTACACTGGTATTCTGTGAGAGCGTGGTCCGTCCCCGGTCGAGCTGATCCATTCGTGCTACAACTATACCAGTAATATAGCTGCAGTATGGGTCTATTACGTATAAATTGAAAATTTAGAAGATGATCCCATAATAAAAAATATTCATTTTGACGGGTAGAATCATTCCCTAAGTTATTAAGTACTATTTTGTTACACCTTTAGTTAGTATATAAGACTGGGGAAAAATTTTCTTCGTATATTGTATACAAATTCAGGACGTTTTTGTTTTAAAGTTTTAATACATTTAATTATAATATAATGGGTCCATTCTGTTCGATAATTTGTTACCATCTTGTAGGTAGTGACATAATAAAAATAAACGTTGCTGTAGAAATCTTGGGATTTTGATTAAAAAAAATGCGACAGGTAGTTTTATTTGATATATTCAATACCAGAAATTTGAAGGAACATGGATTTAGTCATCCCATTTATAATGAAAAAAAAAAAACTTAAATATTAAAACCTCCAGAAAGCTTTCTTTTAAAGAACACAAGCAACAAAAGAAAATAATGACTAAAAATTTTAAACCAGTTTTAAGTACTCAAGATAATACTGGATTTTTAGGAATGTTAGGGTGTATTGAAAGTCTCAAACAGATAACTAATCTTGTGATCTGGCGTTATCATGATGAAAGACCACTCCTTTTCTGGTTATCAATGCCAGCCGTTTTTTTTTTCTATTTCTTGCTTGTCTCATTATTTATTGGTAATAGAGATCAGAATCGATGGTTTTATCCGGCGGTAAAATCTCATGATAAACTTTCAATATCACCATACACACAGCATCGCTTACAGGGACTTACGCAACTTCAATACAGCTTGTATTGAAGAAGCGATCGAGCAGAACCAAGGCTCCAAAGTGTTTGCCAGAGATCTGTCTGCCACAAAGAGCCAACTGTCAAAGCTGAAGACCGAGTGTGGCAGCATTGTTTCCGGGACACCTAAGATTTTGAGTGAGATTGAGAGGTTCTATGGGCAGCTGTACACATCATCGTTGGAGCCACACTTAAGTGTGAGTAACGATCCACGAGCGAGTCTTATCCGACACTATTCCGATGATATCCCGGACGTCAGTCTGAGCGAGATTAGAATGGCTCTCCAATACCTTAAAAACGGCAAGGCCCCAGGCGAGGATAGAATTACAGCAGAGCTTCTGAAAGCGGGTGGAAAACCGGTACTTGAAGTCCTTCAAAAGCTTTTTAATTCCGTCCTCCATGGTGGCACTACACCGAAGGCGTGGAGCAGAAGTGCGGTGGTCTTATTCTTCAAGACAACGCTCTCTTGAAGAACCACAGAGTGATTTCCCTTCTGAGCCGCGTCTACGTGCTGTTTTCGAGAGTCATTACGAATCGTCTCGCGCGCAGACTTGACGACTTCCAGCCTCCCGAACAAGCCGGTTTCCGAAAAGGCTTTAGCACCATTGACCACATACATACCCTTCGGCAAATTGTACAGAAGTCCGAGGAGTACAATTTGCCACTATGTCTGGCGTATGTGGACTATGAGAAAGACTTTGATTCCGTCGAAATTTGGGCGGTGCTGCAGTCCCTTCAGCGATGCCAAGTTGACTGTCGGTATATCGAAGTGCAAAAGTGCTTGTACAGTAGAGCTACGATGGCTATCCGAGTACAGAACCAGAGTACGACACCTATCCAATTGCAGAGAGGTGTAAGACAGGGTGACGTCATACCCCCGAAACTCTTCACCGCTGCATTGGAAGACGTTATCAAGCTTCTGGACTGGAAAGGATACGGTATTAACATCAATGGCGAGTACATCACTCACCTTCGATTTGCCGACGATATAGTCCTTATGGCAGAATCGCTGGAAGATTTAAGCACCATGCTAAATAACCTCAATAGTGTCTCCCAATGGATAGGTCTTAAGATGAACATGGAAAAAACAAAGATCCTGTTTAATGTCCATGTCACACCTATGCCGGTAGTTGTTGGGAACACTAAGCTCGAAGTTGTTGACGAGTATGTTTACCTGGGACAAATAGTCCGACTAGGTAAGTCCAACTTCGACCGAGAGGTTAATCGACGGATTCAACTCGGCTGGGCAGCGTTCGGGAAACTACGACACATCTTCTCGTCAGACATACCTCAAAACCTTAAAACGAAATTGTACAACCAGTGAGTGTTGCCAGTGATGACTTACGGATCTGAGACGTGGTCCTTCACTGCTGGCCGAGCTATGGAGAGGGCTATGCTCGGGGTTTCTCTGCGTGATAAACTTAGAAATGAGTATATCCGCAGTAGAACAACAACACAGTAACCGACATAGCCCAACGGATTAGTAAGCTAAAGTGGCAGTGGGCCGGCCATATAGCTCGAAGAACCGACAACCGATGGGGAAGAAAGGTTCTTGAGTGGCAGCCTCGTACCGGTAGGCGAAGTGTAGGGCGACCCCCCACGAGATGGAGTGACGACCTGGTAAGACATGCAGGAAGTCGATGGATGCAGGTGGCTCAGGACCGTGCTTTGTGGCATTCCTTGGGAGAGGCCTATGTTCAGCAGTGGACTTATGAAAGGCTGTAATGATGATGATGATGATGACACAGCATCATTTTATTGTGTGTAAATCCATGTTTCGCTTTAGTCTGTAAACAAAACAGATATCAATACAGAAAAAAATCACGTTTCTTGTATGGTCTTCATACAAGAAACGTGATTTTTTTGGGTCCTTTAATATTTTACTTGTTTTCTTTTTTATTTTATGTTTTATAGCAGCAATATAAATACACATTCTGTGAAAATTCTACATATTACGGTTCATAAGATACAGCCTACTGACAGACAGACGGAACGATAGTGGAGACTTGGGTCCCGTTGATACTCTTTGAGTACGGAACCCTAAAAAATGGCAATTATGTCATTTGAGCAATACTACAGAAATAAACATTAAATAATATAGAATTAGGTTATATTATAATAAGTTTAATATATTATATTATAAAATATAGTAACAATAAATTCACATAATAACATCTCAGCCACGGGGAATAAAATATTCGGTACTTTCACCTCACACGTTGCCTGCAACGCGACTGGCTCGGGTACGCCGATTTCGGCGTAGTATTTGTTGCCGCATTTTACATGAGCGCCGGCAGTATCTAATCAGAGCGCGCGATGACTTATAATTAATCTATGATCTATAAGTTAAAAGGTATCTCAAATCTAAAAAGAACTTTTCTTTATTTTCAGCGAAAAGAATATGTAAGATACGCAAAAGTGTTTCCACTTAGTGAGATGTTAGACTTCAAGCTACCGTCGAAGTGGTACAGGAGGACCGTTGGGGGGCTTGAGATACTCTTTGGTCTAGCGTTGGCCGTCATACCTAATCGTAAGTACTTATAAGTGTATATCTTTAGACATTTTTTCTTAAATTTCCTAATACACCTAGAGCAAAGTGGCAAATGCTAAGGCTAAATGTTGTGAACATTTCAAACTACTATTTAATAGTTTTAGTGATGACTGGACCGGTAATTACGTTTAGGTGACCCGAGTCCCGAGTTAAGAAAATTTGATGTGGGCGCCCTGGTATAATGAGCGGCGTTCATGCGGCGTTACATAAAACAACAGTTCATTATTTTTTTATATACACCGTGTAAGATACGTTGGGGTAATATCGGACGGATTTTTGACTAAGGTAACTGCGGGTAATAAGGCCTAGCTAAGGGAAAATCGAAAATAAAATCAGAAATATCTAATTTGGTCAAAAATCATTAGTTTAGTACAGTTTCTATAAAGCATGAACGAATAATTGTAACATTTGCCATAAATAAAAACAAAATTAGTAGTAGGCTATTATAGTAGGCCTTATTTTTCTATGGTTGGGTAATAAGGCCTATGCTTTAACGAACTCAAATAATCATTTTATACGTAAAATATTTAATATTTGTGATCAATAATCATATAAAAGCAGCAATTAAGACTTTAAAAAAATATATAAATTGCCTCGCCTAACAGTACTTAAAGTCATTAGTATTATAATAAACAAACTGACAAACAAACTCACTCCACGTGGTTATCATCAGAGTCGAGTTGAGTGTTAGGTTGAGTTGAGAATTGGGTTTATTGTTGGATTGAGTGTCCTCCCAACCAAATTTGTCACAGCGGCCTGTCTCAAAACGGAGACTCGTCCATCAGCACAGTACAGAATTAAAGTATTCGAATGTATGCGCAAGCACAGGTGCACTCTCTATTCCCTCACCATCCAATCACACACAGTCAAATCCGACACGGTCCGAGAGAGCTTAGGCGCAGGATCAGTAATTTACACATAATTTAATAGCTACTAATGTCAAAGCCTTGAGAGAGACCACCATCGGCTAAAGAAGCCGAGAAGGCAAGCCGCCCATAGTTGTAGAATGCCTCCCGAATTGGACGGGGCATTTTAAAATTCTAAACGAGAAATTAGGCCACGTCCCCAATGCCCGTCCGTTCGGGAAAGGGGTCAAATTTATACAACATTAAATTGTTACAACAACATACAATTTTCGTAAATATACTGAAAGGCCAAAGTTAATATATTTATTTCTTTAAATTTATCTCTAAGAGACTCTCTCGGTTTTAGATTGTAAATAGCTCTAATGGCCCTCTTCTGTAAAACAAAAATAGTTTCTAAATCAGTCGCATTTCTCCATAGCAAAATCCCATAAGACATTATGCTATGGAAATAACTGAAATATACTAATCTAGCTGTCTCGACACTATTATTGAGATAGGAAGACTACAATGGAATACTGCGGACATCCCACTTCCCGGAGGAGTGGAAGATCGGCAAGGTGATCGTGTTGCTGAAACCCGGGAAGGACAGGCGTAGAGCTGCCAGCTACTGGCCGATTACGCTACTGCCGCACATAGCTAAACTGCTCGAAAGATTACTGCTCAGACGCCTTCGCCCGTTCATACAACTTCGGGCGGAGCAGCATGGATTCAGGCATGCTGCTCCGACCTGGTACGCACTCCTGAGCGATCAACAGAAGCAGCGACTGCAGGGACAGCAGAATTTATCACTACGTCCGGAATGACGTCATTGCGGCCAACCTGAAAGTCGAAAATATACAGGAATTAGTGCTTCGGTTGGCGCGCGGCATGTTCGACCGCGCAGAGAACGGGCCACACCTACACCTAGCCAACCTGGCAACTTTACATGCCCTTCCCCCGGACGGGCGACATCTACCAAGAGAACTCCTCTCTATAGACATTAGAGAGTCGAGTAACAACCCTTAATAATCACTGATAGACCAACTTTAACTTACTTTAAAACCAACTTGCAACCGGGGAATCGAAGCCCAGACCGCTGCCTTATACTTACAATGCCGAGACGGCTCCCATGACCGGTGCATAGTTGTGTACCGCAAGGAGAATCCGGGCAATGGGGATGCCCCGAGGCCCGAGACCTGCTGTGTGCTAAATAGCACACACCCAGAAAATATCGTTCGGGACCAGCTACCAGTTTTACAGTTTAAAGCAAGAAAGAAAACAATAGGAAAGTGATAGGAAAAGTAGTGAAAGTTTCAACGTTGCACTCTTAAAGGGAAATTACGAAGATAAAATTGCTGTCGGATTTCCTACTGCACCTTCCAATTAAGAAGATATACAGTCCACTACGTGACGTCAAGACCGGGACCACTCCATAGGGACCCGTAATTTTAGTCGTCTAACCTTTCTTTTCAGAAAGGGCAACAGACGTGCTCGTGTGACCCTCCTTCTCGGGGGTCACGCCCACCTCGTTGTTCCCGAACCCAACGTAGTGTGATTTCAGTTTTTTTGGGTAGAAGGTCAATGACTGATTAACCCCTGTCTGTTGGACCCTTTTAGTATGTTACGCGTTATGTTCGTCTATCGTGAACCGATTAGAGTGATTATTTTTATATGATACCTCAAGCGTGGGTCCTATTCAAATTTAAAGGGCAAAATTTCACTCTTAGGCTGCGTTTCCACCAGAGATGTGCAAGGCCGCTGAGCGGTGCGAGGATGTGTAGCGACGCTGTGAAACGTTGCGTAGATGAGCGGTGCGAGGATGTGTAGCGACGCTGTGAAACGTTGCGTAGATGAGCGGTGCGATGATGTGTAGCGACGCTGTGAAACGTTGCGTAGATGAGCGGTGCGAGGATATGTAGCGACGCTGTGAAACGTTGCGTAGATGAGCGGTGCGATGATGTGTAGCGACGCTGTGAAACGTTGCGTAGATGAGCGGTGCGAGGATATGTAGCGACGCTGTGAAACGTTGCGTAGATGAGCGGTGCGAGGATGTGTAGCGACGCTGTGAAACGTTGCGTAGATGAGCGGTGCGAGGATGTGTAGCGATGCTGTGAAACGTTGCGTAGATGAGCGGTGCGAGGATGTGTAGCGACGCTGTGAAACGTTGCGTAGATGAGCGGTGCGATGATGTGTAGCGACGCTGTGAAACGTTGCGTAGATGAGCGGTGCGAGGATGTGTAGCGACGCTGTGAAACGTTGCGTAGATGAGCGGTGCGAGGATGTGTAGCGACGCTGTGAAACGTTGCGTAGATGAGCGGTGCGAGGATGTGTAGCGACGCTGTGAAACGTTGCGTAGATGAGCGGTGCGAGGATGTGTAGCGATGCTGTGAAACGTTGCGTAGATGAGCGGTGCGAGGATGTGTAGCGACGCTGTGAAACGTTGCGTAGATGAGCGGTGCGAGGATGTGTAGCGACGCTGTGAAACGTTGCGTAGATGAGCGGTGCGAGGATGTGTAGCGATGCTGTGAAACGTTGTGTAGATGAGCGGTGCGAGGATGTGTAGCGATGCTGTGAAACGTTGCGTAGATGAGCGGTGCGAGGATGTGTAGCGATGCTGTGAAACGTTGCGTAGATGAGCGGTGCGAGGATGTGTAGCGATGCTGTGAAACGTTGCGTAGATGAGCGGTGCGAGGATGTGTAGCGATGCTGTGAAACGTTGCGTAGATGAGCGGTGCGAGGATGTGTAGCGACGCTGTGAAACGGTGCGCAGATGAGCGGTGCGAGGATGTGTAGCGGGCTAAAAATATAATTATATCTATGGCTTTTGTCAAAAAAAGTTAAAAGTTTCGAAGTTCAATTTTACAAAGAGATATCATTATAAACAGGAATGTTTTAAATCATTTTGAAATTTAATGTAGTTCGTTTTGTTTAACCTCGCAACACATCCTTCGCAACACATCACTTGCACACATTCTTCCCTTGTTTTGTGTGTGTACAAAAACCTCGCTCTGCTGAGCCGTTTATACTAGAGCTGTGCTGAGTGAGGCTAGGTAAATGAAGTGATTCTATTGGTTAAACACATCCCTCGCAACGCATCCTCGCAAATCTCTGGTGGAAACGCAGCCTTAAGGGTGGAAAAATGTTGGATGAAATTTTTTTTTTGTGTTTGTTATGTAGGAAACGTTTATAGATGACATTCTAGTTGTAACTTTGAGGCTGTGATATTGCTTAAATCACTCTAAAGTAATAATAATAATTAAAAGTTTAAAAGGAAAACCGACCTCAAAAGCTAAAAAGAATAAAATAATTTCCACTTCTCGTTCCGTATCATCCGTTCGACCGTTCGGCCAAGTCGTACAAGTCGCGGCACGTAAGTCTGGCACTGAACGAAACGTGGAGGGGATAGCTACGCATGGCTACTGTCGCGCGCGGATAGAATTGCACGATTGCGACTGGAGCGCCAATCAACCGTCCGAACGACGCACGCCTGCCCCGCAACCCGCTTACTACCCCATGATACCTTATTTTCGGTTTATGCGCGGTCACCCCTAGACGTTTGTGCTGCTAGTTATAACGCATCTGTGCTTATCGAACACAGATGAATAAATCTGTAGCAAGCTATTAGCAAGTTCTGCGACTTGCGCGGCTTGAACGATGTTCTGTACTAGGTTCCGCCGCTATGTAAATAGTGCATATTAACAATATATATACCATAGTTCTTATTTTGAGCGGTAGTGTAAGAGAGCAAATTGCTTTTTAAAATAGCAAGAATTATGTAGTAAATAATGGCCAAGATTACAAACTGCTCTTGGATAGTTTAACGACTAGAGTTTATAGTTCAATATATATAATAAATAGTCTAAGCCCGTTTAGTTTAACGGAGGACGTTAAAACACATGCGTCAAGATTCGACATTAATAAACTTATGTTGGTCTATAAAAATGTTCAGCCTCGAGAATTAAAACCATGATTTGTGCATTATAAAAAACCGTTTTAATGTACATTTTTATATTTATGACTTTATAACCATAGATTTAAATTCTTGCCCGCAATATTTACCCGCAGGTACCACAGGGCTCTTGTCAGGGTTGCGGTCGGATTTTGGAAATGTCAGGCTTTGTCAATTTTTACGTGGGATGGATGGATGGAATCATGATGCAAATGTGATTACTTACATATTTGTGCCATTTGCAGTAAAGACTTACGGTCAGTGGGGTCCACATTATGGTGAAGTTCCTAAAGGAATATTATCCACGACTAGTCGTCGCCGATGATAAGAGGGCTGGTTGACTACGTTTAGCCATTTAGAAAGAATACGAACCAGCGTTTTTGCCACTACACTGCGGGAATTAGGACTGTATATATATATGTACTTTTATAATTTTAGTTGGTAGTTTTAGTTTTTTTATTATTATAATAATAAACTTGGTATTATGTGAAAACTTGCGAAAAATCTTTCAATATTGTTCATTTTCTAAGAACTTTTAAAAATTTTAGTTTTATTAATAAAAAACTTTCTCTCTTTCTAAAGAGTTCTGTTCTGTCTCATTCTAAAGAGTGGTCTCCTCAAAAAAAATTCGGAAAGTTTATGAACTAAAAACAAATGTATGAAATTTAACAGAAAATGTTAAATTTCACGATGATCATTGCGTCGCGGCTCGTGGTCGCAGCTAAGAGAATTAATTTGATAAAGAAAAAAAAAACTGATTATCATTATATACTGGAGATAAATAATTAAGCACACAAACCTGACCTTTGCAGTGACGAATGTGTCACAAATCCGCCGTTTATGCAAGTCATTTAGTAGAGTAGATTAGAAGAGATATGTAGATTTAGAAGAGTTTTGTATCAAATAATAAACTGACCCTGATATGAATGAATGGAAAAACAGACACTCATGTACTTGATTGAGCTTATTTAAATTCCTACAGATAAGATAAAGAATGCAGCCAACATCGGGCTGGTGCTGCTAATGGTGTTGGCGGCCTACTCCCACGTGATGGTGGGCGATCCGTTCGACCGCTGCGCGCCCGCTCTAGTCTTCTTCTTCATGCTCAGTGGCCGCCTTGTTGTCTGGTTAGTGCTATATTTTTACACATCATTTTAATTTTCAGGTAGATATTGTGTCTGAGACTCGATTGTTTGGTATACATGATTGAAGGAAACAATCACAACAATATTCTGATTTCACATTCTCTTCTACTTGCATTCATATTCTCATTTAAGCAAGTAGCTAAGCTTATTTATTCTGTGGCTAAGCACGCGGGGTACATATACAAAGTATGTATACTAATTTTGATTTTCACAAATTTAATTTATGTGTAAGATTCGAACTCGGGACCTAGATAGAGCAGAGAACTAGGACAAAATATATAGCATTTAGGTAAGTAGATCTCCTGTACTCTAGATATATTTTCTAGTAAACTTTCTTAATTTCAAAAAGAAAGGGTCGATCTAAGTATCCTATTCTGTTTTTTCTTTATTCTATTTTAATGGAAACACATTTTTCCACACTCCGAGTGAGGAGTGTCTGATGTAATTTTAAATGAAATAAAATTACCGCTTTGTTTAGAGACAAATTAAGAAGAAATTTAAACCTGCCTGTGAGGAATTCAATTTATTCGGTTTAATGCCTTACATATTATTTTATTTACTAACAAAAACTCTGTAAGGTGACTCTGAATTGTTTTCTACTGTTTTACTATCAAAATATTCACCCGTCGAGGTGACCGCGCATCAGACCGTTATTTTAGACTGTGGGCGCCTGTCGTCTCTCGAAAATATTTCAAAATGTTTGTGTAGTTGGTCATAACTTCTAAAATTAGCGTTAAATTGGGTATGATTTAAAGCTAACTTCGAGACTAGAGATAGAAAACGTTACCGCATTAGCTCTGCCAACGTAGTAATGAACGACCTTACTATATTAGCCTGCAGTGGATGTCAATTATTAATGCTAAAATAAATATTACTGCCATCGTGTAGCTGTTATTATACCTACATAATTTTCGAGAAGGTTTAAAATAAAATATTTAGAACGTCTTGTTTATAATAGTCCAGGAGGAACCGGCGCATGTTAAAGTTAAGGCGAATATTAAAAAATTGAGGTGGAATATTTTTCGGTATTCTTGCGCCGATACCTCCTGGACTATAATATATTATACATGATTTTAATTTCTAAGGCAATAATAAAATTGAAACTTGGACAGAATTTTCATGGACTTTAACACATTACATAAATTTAAAACAGTTAAGATTATGGTTAGAGACAACATCGTCGCGTAACATTATTTGATCTGTGGTCGCACCTTGACCAATTTTATGCGATGTAAACAAGAGTAACGAAACAAAATTAGTGCTATCTCACGGCCGAACATTGTTCTTACTGGCCACTTGCCAGGGATTCGGCGTTCTTGTCGTGCAAATAATTTGTGTTCTATTTGATTGGTATGGATGGTATGGGGTTGTATTTGTTTCTTCATTTAGTTGACATCTGTCTGTCTGTACGTAAATGTATACAATAAAGGTCATTTTACAAGCTGAATATATATTAATTAACTTTGGTCGATGACAAAGTGGTATTGGTTTCTCGCGACTTTTTATGGAGAAATTCATACGCAAACCGCCGCGCATCGGACTCGCTCCGACAAAAACCCTATGGTGTTCCAAGTTCACCACAAGTCAACAGGGCTACATTAGCACACTTACACACACGTTAGCGACCCCATCAGCCCCAACCGCCTATCCGTGACCCTTCTTCCTCAAAGCACAACTCTTCTTCCATTTCAGGCAAAACTAAGGCCCCAAAAATAAGGCGCGCTTTCATACACGCATTAAACAATCCTAAAAGCAAATATACCTAATCATCCAAAAAAGGGCAGACAAAAAATCCAGATCTGTCACAGTGAACAACGTGTAAGGTGCTCAAGGTATCAGGTTGTGTTCGCACATCTACTTTTCAAGCGTGACAATTTTTATACAATAAAGGATGACAAATGAGCCGACACAATCCACCGGTTGTTAATGGATGCCGAGGCCCAATGACATCTTTATTTATGAGAATCACAATGCAGATACGTTGTCATCTTCGTGAACTAAAGTGCATTGTAATGAAATAAAATGAAACGAAATGCTGCTATTTTACGCTGGTATCAAGTGAGAACGTGGTCATAATATAGCAGCAGCAGCATGGTTCTAACACATAAAATTTCTTTTTTATTTACGAAATTGTAGCAAGCCCGCTTAACTAGGGAGAGACCTCAGACCAACAAGGAAAGATAAACAGTTCGTTACGATATATTTATTATATTGCATTTCAAGGGACGCAAAACCATGTCCAACTTACTGTAAGAACACGCGCTCACGTACACTTATGTATTTACTTTTTATTTGCACTTATGCACTTACTTTTTATTTCTCCTATTTAAATAAAACTTAAAAATATGTAATATAATAAAAAATTGTTTTCCAGGTATCAAACCAGTCGACGCGAAGAACTAGAGAAAGCCACTACAACGCAAAACGGGAATGGTCTTAAGAAAGATTAAGTTCTCTTTTCAATCCTGTCTTGAAATAGTCAGAAAACATGATATTAAAATGAATATCAATTTTATACAGTTTGATTTGTTTGACGGCACAAGGACAATCTAGTCATTAGAGCACAATAAAAATATAGAATTGTTTTGATTTCCAACCTGTGATTTTACTAGTCATCTCACAATTGTTTGTGATCTTTGCACCGCTTTAGTGTTGTTATTTATATATCATTCAACTAAGATATTAGATATAGACATTATTTATGTGGCAATATAAAGCTCATACAGTTTTTTTTTTTAATGAATAACACAAACAATATTTGTGCGCATAATTTTTACACTATTAAATTTTTAAGTGATATTAATTTAAGCCTTAAGCTGTGTGTTATTGTATGTTGTTGATGTGTGAAGTGTACGAAAGCGTAGCGTGATACATAATATTACAGTAACTGCCACATTATTTTAGGAGATTTAGACAGAGAACACAATATGTACCTTGAATCGTAACCAATGTCTCAGAATTCATGATAGATTTGCTCAATAAGCTTTAGACGTAAATGTAAACTTCCTTCGCTTTAGAACTCGCACAAAAGCTCAAAACTTGACCGTTGCTCGATACGTTCTTGATCTTTAATAAATCAATTAGATCGTACTATCTACTTGCTTAGTTACGTTATATAACTCTTAGAATATATTACTTATGTAAATTAATTACCCATTAAATATTAAAGATAATAGAAACTCCAAAGACACAAAATTTTATATAAACATAAATTGAACGAGACTTACGACCCATTTTTAACCTATACAAATAGTAAAAAAAAAATACAAGAAATACTTTTTATTCTAGATCAACCCTAAGTAAAGATTATTCTATATATCTTTCAGTTCAAAACGATTGGCTTTATTCCAACCAAGTGTATAATGAACTACTTAGCTATCCATTGTTTCTCTTAAATTGATGGTTTCTAGAGAAACTAGCTTTTCTATACACATCAGAACTACCACATCTTTTTCAGCATTACAGCTCGTCACAAGTCCACTGCAGACAGCATGAAATGGGGGACCGCATAGAAATATTAGTAAGTGAGCGGTCGAAGAATTTCTGTAGAGACAAATCGGTTAATTTTATTGTATTGTAAAATGCCTGCAGGCGCCTTCTGCCTAGTCTAAATTGCTAATATCGTAATTTATTAATTAAATTTTAAATTTAATGTTTTAAACATATGATGGATTTGTACTGAGTGTGAAGTTTGAATAAATGAAATGAGTAGTTAACAAGTTATTATAATTTACCCAACGATTCATTAAAAATCAATTAATCAGCGAATTTTCCGGACCGATACGACTTGGAACCTTCAAGAAAAGAGCTTACACCTTTCTAAAAGGCCGGCAACGCATCTGCAATTCCCCTGGTGTTGCGGTTGTTCATGGGCCGCGGTAGTCACTTACCATCAGGTGAGCCGCATGCTCGTTTGCCCCCTCTTCTATAAAAAAAAATTAAACAAATGTGGATGGTGATTATATGTTTTATTTAAGGCGTAAATACATCTATCATACATGCTTTAAGACTATAATTATATATTATATTATTGTTATTATTGTGAAAATATAACAATCAAATATTTTATTTTTATGTTTCACTTACATTAAGCCAGTACTTATCTATTTGGTAATTCCACCTGGTGGTAAGCGGAAATAAGAATAATTTAAAATTTAGGTACATACTCTAGGCACTTAAATACTTAATAACGTGAAATATACAATCACAGCATAAATCACTATTGTGTATGATCGTTTAAAAAAAGCACATCTTAAATTAATTAACATTTAAAAGTATAACTAGCAATTTTCCATAAGCGATTATGAGAAGCAGCCCTTTAAGCGGGATCTCTTCCTGTTTGTAATAATTCTAAAGCAAATTTAAGATTATCAATCGCAGTTTTAACGTCATCGTAATTAAGAGCGCTGCTTGCCCACTTACAATACTTTTGCGCTTTAGCCAATTGGTCAGGAGTTAACTGTGCAACCATTGTAGAACTATCTCCGTACGTCGGTTGCGATGGTTGACTTTGTTGTGAGGGATCATACGGAATAAATCCCCCTGGATTTGGATCCGGAGTATATGGCACAGGTGGTAATTGAGATGCGGCTTTCATCGCTGCATTCTGGTCGGGTAGAGTACTGTTGAAACTAGTTGGTACAGGTGGTGTAGCAGGTGTAATTTGCGGTGAGAAACCTGGATTTTGTGGAAAACCCGTGGGTGCTGGTTGGTTATCACTTTCAGACCCCTCATTATCTTTATCTTGTTCCTGCTCGTCTGTTGGAAGAGGCCCTGTAAGGAGAGTAATGCATTTAATGATTTGTAAATAAATATATACTGGACAATCCTCCTCAGAAATAAGAGAAGGCCTGTGGCCAGCAGTAATACGTTCTCACTCCAACTGGGGATTCAAATCTAGGACCACATATACAGCAGTCGTGCTTACGATCACACTAGGCTAACGAAGTAGATAGGCTGTAATGAATAAGATTAGTTGAAATGATCTTCTTTATCCATCACGATTATAGGCTGTAACTTTATTTAAAATAAATACCTATCACCTATCATTATCATTATTATATAATTTAAGTAAATAAACATTATTATTAACTAGGTTTAAGGAGTTTTGGCGGCAACTTGACCACCGGTGGATTGTTGATCCAGTACGGTTATACTATTTATCCATCCTAGGGTGGATACTTGGAAACGCGTGTTCATATTTCCACCCCAGACGGGGTGGGTAATCGGAATACGTATATTAATTTTCTCTCAATTCTCTCCCTCGGCTGTGTAGTCATTGAAGAAATCTGGCCCAAAATACTTAGTAGGCATTAGCATATCTATAAATATATATATACTTCTTGTTTAAAAGGTCAAACCTGAAATAAAAAGAGTGCCTCACATGACTACAAATTCATTGGATTCTTGGCGTAAAACAATTTCAAATGAAATTAAAGTTTTTGGAATTCTTGCAAAAAAGAAAGCCCAGTTATTCGCTAAAACATCTGTTGTAGCAAAGAAATTTAGAAAACGTTTGTAGATGTGCATCAAAAGATAAAAATTTATCTTTTGATGCACATCTACAAACAAAATATTTATATAATGAAATTAGTGTTGGTGATTTCCTGGACGTATTGCAAAATTTATGAATTATACTGAGTGGCGCGTAGGTTATCACGTTAAATAGCATAGCAGTTAATATAAGTTGATATATGTCTGTTAAAATAATAAAATAAACAATAATAAAAGAAAATTAAAAATACATTTTTCAAACAAAATAAATAGCGTGAAAAATTGACAAGAAATAAATCATCCTTGATAATATTAGTTTACTGACCTGAAGTGACCTGTAAGGCCGGCCATATACATACGGAATTCCGTTTCGTGATTCCGTTTCGGAATCCCGAATCGGGATTCCGTGAATACATCACACACACACGTTTTTTTTCCGTTCGGAATAACAAGGGTCAGTTGAGAGACGTTAGCCATTGAGTCTAGACATTCTGCCAGCGAATAATGACGACGATTTTCTAATTGCAAATTCCATTGTTGCTGTATCATTCTTACTAGGTGCATCCCCTTATCACCCTAAGCTTGCAATATAGTCAATACTATGTAAAAAGATCTATCTATCCAGAGATATTTTTTAAATATTTATGTATGTAAATTCTATCGAGGAATTATTAAATAAAATAAGATGAAAGGTTACGAAAAGCTATACACCTACAAGATTAAATTTAAAAACATACATAAATACACCTACTCGCTTCGGTCGTGCGACGAACACTGAGCGCATTCCGTACGGAATTTACGTATGTGTGTTGCGACTCGTACAAAATCTATGGAAGACGTGCGTTCGGAGCGGCTTTTTTCCATTCGGGATCCCGAACGCACAGACGATCATACGGAATCTCGAATCGGAGAAATTCCGTACGGAAAAATAACGTACGTGTGTGGCGGGTCATAGATTTTATATGGACTTGCTGCGTTAAAGTCCAATCTCGAAACGGAATTCCGTATGTATATGGCGGGCCTAAAAGCGGCAACAACGCTCAGTGCTCACGTGATATCGACATAGGTAAATTATAATACCTACACTTGCCCATACATAGGTAATTAGGCACGCGTAGGGCGATGCTAATCCGATGTTATCAACGAATCATAAATTTCATGGTATTGTTTTTATCCAAATAATCACTTTAATCTTTAAATCACTTAAGTTTAATAATCAAAACAAATCAAATTTTGAAAAAAAAAAAACATGTCGGTGTTTCTGATGACGTGAAATTGTTCGGCAACTTAAAATTTAAAAAAAGTTGGGCTGTCACATGTGCTGTCACACCACTAAGTTATTAAATATGATTATTTAGCGTATTATTAATGTGTCCTATCACAAATAAAAAATACAATACAGTAAAAAAGGCGTCTAATTTCGCACAAACTGTCACACCACATTATCACTACTGTTATTATCGTGTCCTATCACAAACAAATTAAGAGACTTATTAAAATGTCCACAAAACCAAAAAAAAAAACAATTAAAACTTAAAGGATGTGTACGCGAAAAACGAAAATTTGATCAAGCGACTCATGAACCATCCTCAAGGACGCCGGCGTCGGACTAAGTGACGTACTTTCTTACAAAACGTCGCACGCACCAGAAAAATATGAATTTCGACACCCCGTCCAATTTCTTGTCACTTCTCGCATAGAGAATTATGCCTTAAGTCCTTTATTTTAAGTAAATTTTTCGCTTGAATTTGTTTTGTCACACCCGCAGCGCGCGGTCCCTTTGTTTTTAATTTCGCGCATAAAATTATGCCTAATGCCGCCTCCACACGCTTGGTGTTTGCCACAAACACCATTCACGAACAAACACCGACCACATTCACCCAACACAAACACGGCATCCACACGCTTGGCGAACGTGCTAGTATATTCCGGATAGGCAAACATGACGGATGACGAGCTTGTGGCAGCGATTAATTTCGGGTTGACCTATTTTTATTTAAAAATAAGGCAATATGAATTGCTCTCAAAGTTATTGTATTGAAGAATTTATTTACCATAGAATCTCAAATGAATTGTTAATTATCACTGCTATAAATTGTCTTCAGGTTGAAATAAGTTTGGTTTGAACGCTTTTATTCGTATTGCATAGCTGATTATTATGTAACACGTTACTCTAAATTAATCTAAAAACAAACTTTTATGAAATTAATGCTTGACCGGGGAATCGAACCCCGAACTTTCGTTTGACATTATATTGAATCTATTTACTTTTAACATAGATTATCTCTTTATTCGAAGCGCCTTATACACTTTAATAGCAACATTTTCAAAACGCACAATTGTTTATTTTTTATGGAATGAAAATGATATACTATTTTAACGCTTCGCCAAAACTAATAGTAGTAATGCATATGCGCCGTTTTCTTCATAAAATGTTTATTATTAACAGCTTACAATAACATTATTAATGCAGCTAGTTTTAGGTCTTTTCTATGAAAATGTAAAGAAATTTTTACTAATCCAAGTGTATTTTATAAGTTGGTCAACTATTACTCGTTAACTTCTTGATTCTACTTAGCTGTGATAGTTTTCCTTTTAACTGCATTATATAAACTACTATTGGGTATACTTTTCACATTTCGATAAACATCGGCTAAGTTGGTAGAGAGAGAGAGGGAGGGGGGGGGCATAACTCTGATAAAAAATACCACTTTAAAGCTAAATATTTCACAAACGGACCCCTGAATCGAAAAGATGTTGTTGAACACCCCCAATGTTTTTGAAAGACCTATCCAACGATACCCCACATGATAGAATAGACACGTAAAAAAATCATCCTCCATTTACTTGTATGGGAAGTACCCAAAATAAAAATGTTTTTAAGATATTATTTCACTGTTTTCTAGGCGTGATTAATATTTATAAGTGTGCCAAAATACAGATTTGTAGCACCTAGAGTCTGAGCAAAACCGCGGACGGACATGGCGAAACTATAAGGGTTCCTTGTTGTGTAACTACGAAAGTCTAAAAGATATACTAAACTTATCGATACATAGGATATACTAATCTTATATAATTTTTTCGGATTTTATTTTGGGAATTAATGATCAATGATCCTGCTTTCACACGGAGCTCCTTATAAAAAGAGGTGAAATATGTGTTACCCAATAGTCTAATAAAATAAATCTAATAGGTCTCTAGAAAACTTAAAAAAATATAGGTGGTAGATCTACTGACTTTTATTCTATTTAGGAAACTCAACTTCTGAAATCATATTTACCTCCGCGACAAATTTCGCATTAGTAACATTGGCGTAGAGTATAATAATAATAGCTACGAGTAACTCCTTCCGCCGCCCGCAAGCCGCAAGCTCGCGCGTACTACTGACAGATCGCCAAACGTGTGGATACATCGCAAACACGTTTGTCGAACAGCCTTTGATCGGTGCATAAAAACCGACACCAACACCGATCACTGGCATTCACATACAAACAAACAAACAAACAGGCAAACAACCATCCACACGTTCGTGATTGCTGTTTGGTGTATGCTGTTCGCCGTTGTTTGCCAAGCGTGTGGATGAGGCATTAAATTGTTAGCCGTAAGTACATTTTTTGCTTGTTTTTTTTTCTTTATTTGAGTAATTCGAATTGGCAACATTTAAACTACCTATCTTCGCCTTCAAATGCCATGGGTCTTTGATCTTCTAGTATTCATCAGGTGATATCTGTATGCATTTACATGATGTTATTTATTATTAAAACGAAAAAAATGCTACCGCGACTAGAGTATTAATTGTTATATATTTTTTTAGTTGTGTATGTTTAAAGAAATTTATGTAGGATACATCTTTTCATTTAATGTGATAACTTCATCGTCACTCAGTATAATAATCTCATTATTTGTTTACTTTTGCTGCACTAGGTACCTCCCATATGTTTATCTCTGCTTAGCCTAATGTTTGACTGGGAGAGAATGCCTTAAGGCATTATAAATCCACCATATGTACGATTTTATTTTTTGTGCAAAAAACTTATTATTTAAAACGAGGAAGTTTAATTCGATTTAAATGCAGTAGGGTAAATATGATTTAAATAATTTTGTGGTGTTACTAAAATTAATTAATAGTTAAAGTATATGAGTGTATTTAGTGTTGAACTGTACTTGGCGTAAAAAGTAGGAAGTACGTAGGCGGTCCCATAATGAATTGGCCTAACTATGAACCAATGAAGGAAATGAAACGAAACCAATTTTATTTTTCAATATAATCACCATGAATA